CTATAAGTCTATATTATATAACTAAACTATTGTTGTATGTAAAGTAAATAAGGTTTTTAAAATGTTTAAGGAGCTTCACTAAAAATTAAATTAAAATGCAGAGCCCCCCGGACCGGTGACCAGGACCCGGGCAGTGCGAGCGCCACTGAAAAACAGCTCGCGTGCCGCCGTTGGCACCCGTGCCGTAGGTCGCCTACCTCTGCTATAGGCCCTGATTGTCATTTACACTAAAGTTTCTTTATACCACTCCGGCAATGTAAAAAGGGCTTTAAAATGAGTGTAAATTCTATTTACATTCACTGTAAGGCCTCTTTTCATTGCCAGAGAGCTATAAGGGGGTTTTAATGTAAATGATTATGAGGCTCAATCATCGAATAATAGAAATATAGGGCTGAAAGAGACCTCAAGAAATCATCAAATCCAGCCCCCTGCACGTAGGCAGGACCCAGTAAACCTAGAGCATCCCCGACAGGTGTTTGTCCAACCTGTTCTTAAAAACCTGTCCAGTGATGGGGATTCCACAACCTCCCTTGGAAGCTTGTTCCAGAGTTTAACTAGAATTTTTTCCTAATCTCTAACCTAAATCCTCCTTGCTGCAGATTAAGCCCATTTCTACTTGTCCTAACTTTAGTGGAGCGGAAAACAATTGATCACATTCCTCTTTATAACAGCCCTTAACACATTTAAAGACTGTTATCAGGTTACCCCCACCCCCACCCTGCAGTCTTCTTTTCTCAGACTAAACATGCCCTGTTTTTTAACCTTTCCTTATAGCAGGGCTGCCCAGAGGATTCAGGGGGCCTGGGGCAAAGCAATTTCAGGGGCCCCTTCCATAAAAAAAGTGCAATACTATAGAATACTATATTCTTGTGGGGGCCCCTGGGGCAAATTGCCCCACTTGCCCCCCCCCCCCTCCCGGGGCAGCCCTGCCTTATAGGTCAGGTTTTCTAATCTTTCATCATTTTTGTTGCTCTCCTCTGGACTCTCTGATTTGTCCCTATCTTTCCTAAAGTGTGGTGTCCAGAACTGGACACAGTACTCCAGCTGAGGCCTCTCCAGTACCGAACAGAGCAGTACAATTATCTCCCGTGTCGAACATACAGTGCTTCTATTAATACACCCCAGAATGATATTAGTCTTGTCACAACTTCATCACATTGTTGATTTATAACCATCTAGCCAGTTATTCTACATTTTGAAGTTGTATATTTGATTTTTCCTTCCCAACTTAAATACTTTGCTCTTATCTTTATTGAATTTCATTTTGTTGAATTCAGACCAATTCTCCAATTTGCCAAGGTCATTTTGAATTCCAATCCTATCTTCCAAAGTGCTCGCAACCCCTCCCAGCTTGCTGTCATCTGCACGTTTTGTAAGCATATTCTCTACTCTATTATCCAAGTCATTAATGAAAAAATGGAATAGTACCGGACACTGGACTGACTCCTTCTGGTCCCTGCTAGATACATCCCCACAATATGACAGTGTATCTCTAGGGGTGATATTCACCTCTGTGCAGAAAGCCACACCAAAGCTTATTAACCGCTTAAGAACCACATAATCCCTAAAAGAGAGATTTAAGTGGGACATAAGTAGTGCTTAGGCATGGTGTTAGGGGGTGAATTTCACTCTAGGGTTAAAGATCACGTGAGTTTTGTGTAGCGATTCTGCATTGTGGATGTAGCATGAATTATTCTTCTCACATAGCGTGGTTTGACAATGGTTGGAACTCCATTAGGCCAGATGGTAATATCACTTGCACCAGTGTAAATCTGGAAGCGGCACCATTAAAGTCAGTGGAGTTGCATCAGTGTGAGAGAGATCAGACTCAGGCCTATTGACTTCAGGGAGGTTACTCTAGATTTACACTAGTGTAAGTGGGAAGAGAATTAGTCCCAGAGAGCAATGCTGCCAACTCTTGTGATTTTTATCACAAGTCTTGTGCTATTTGGTGTTGGGTTTTTTAAATTCCCAGGTCCTGGAGTCATGTGATTACACGAGAATCTCAACTTCCTCTGTTTAAAAAAAAAAAGTAAGTTTCGAGCCCTCAAGGTTATAGAGAAAAGCTTAAAAATGTGAACCATTAAAACCTGAAGGCAAATAAAGACTCTAGATTTATTTATTTTTTAAAATTTCATGATTTTTGGGTGATACCCGACATGAGAATTTTGAATGCTTGCAGAGTCAAATACATAGCAACCCACATGCTTTATACAAAAGACTCTGGTGCTCACTACTGGTCACCGGGAGCCCCTATAAACGCTTCTTTAACTAGTGTGACAGCAACAGCACCGATAGGCATGTGCGCTGACTGCAGAGTCATTGTTCAAGGTCATTCATGGAAGTTGATTCTAGACATGTAAGTTGAAACTAGACAAAATCAGACTAGAAATAAAAGGTGTACATTTTTAACAGTCAGGATAATTAATCATTGGAACAACTTACCATCTCCACCCTCTCCCCTCCAAAGATATGCTCTAGTTCAAACAGGAATTAATTCAGGGAAGTCCTATGACCTGTTGTATGCAGAAGGTCAGAACAGATGACCACAGTGGCCTCTTCTGGCTTTTTAAACTATGACACCCCAAGAATTGGGGACAGCAGCACTGCTGTGTCCCTGTATAAAAACAAATGTCTCTGGTATTCTAGACTAATGGTCCAAACCACGACAGAGTACAATAGTATAGCTACATTTTATGGGGGCCAGGGCTGTAGAACTTTGAAATCAGGGTCGCTAGCCTAGCAGAGTTCTGGGTACTACTTTTAATGCATAGTTGAAATGGCAGCCTACCAACCCCTGGCAGCCTACCAACCCTCAGGGCATCAGTGAGGAGATGTTTGGAGAGGCAATTCAGAATTCCAGCGTCTTTCCTTGTCAAAGTAGGCCTGTGATCTGCAGGGACTTTCTGGTGGCTCTAAGCCACAATGCTGTTTACACGGGTTGTATCAGCAGTGCTGATCTTTTCTCAACCTTTTAGTGTTTAATTATGCAGGCCTTTAACGCAAACATAAACAGCACAAAGGGATGTCATAAACTCTGCTGGCGGCAAAGTACACAAGAATGTGACCGCACCATTATAGAAAGACTTTTATCCTCACGGTGCACTCTGTGGGATTTTGCCAGTGAAGTTTTTCAAATTCCTGTGAGTGTGGGTTGTTTTCCCCCTCATGGCATCATTCAGGGGAACAGATCTAGGGTGCTCACTCTTTTTAGCCATTATAACGGCTGACATTTATTGAGTACTTTGACCCCAAACTCTGTAGCGGAGGAAGGACTGGCCGAGTGGTCAGGGTGCTAACCTGGGCCTCTGAAGATCCAGCTTTAGTTCCCTGCTTTGCCACAGATTGCCTGTGACACCTTGGGCATGTCATTTAGTGTCTCTGCTCCCTGTCTGTAAAATGAATATAATTGCACTCCCCTACCTCCCAGGGGCATTATGAGGGTTAAATTCACTAAAGGGTTACACACTTTGTTGCATCCGTAGGCTGAGCAAATTGCATACGCCAGGAGCCCTGGCCCTTCTCCATTCTCTGTGTGCCACCCTCCAATCCCCATCTATTTCAAGGAGTCTCTGTAATCCCCTCCAGCATGTGACCATGTGCCAGGGGGTTGTGTGTGTCTGCCTCCGTTTGTACTATTGGCCTCCATTTGCCCCACTCATGGCAACAGCTCTGTGTGGCCCCCCACCCATATCCTTAGGAATGAGAGGCTATTTGAGTCTCCAGGCCCATTCATTTCTAATACTCTCTGCTAGAACTGGCAAGGAGGATGCCAGTTGTGGTGCTCTCTGTGATATGGATAGTTGTCCATCAGGACCTGGATAAAGAATGCATTTCAGGGTGTGTATACAGAGAGCCTCCCAACATGGGTTGATGGACAAGGGCTAGTGCTGTACAAATAGCTCTTTAGACAGTGCTTTGAAATTGCGGTTCTAGCTGGATCGTGGGCTCTGAAGCCCAGCCCCCTCTTTAAGATTCAGAGCATGAGCTCCAGCCCGAGCTGCAACTTCAAAGCGCTGTCTGTAGAGCTGTTTTTTGTAGATCGCTATCGCAAGCCTGCTAGCCCAAGTCTGTCAACCTGGGCTGGGAGTCTCGCTCCAAAATGCTACATAAACATACCCTTATAGGCCATACAACTGGTCACCACCAGCCCGGGATGGATTCACGTCTGCTTCCTAGAGGCTAAAGTTTCTGTAGCCATTATCAATACTAGGACCTTGGCTTAATGATGCCCAAGGGAAGGTCCCTTTAGGATAGCCTTAAGGCACTTTGTAGTGAGAGTGCTTGTAATACTCCCACTGTAATGGCTCCTAGATGAGCAGAGTTAAGCCAGTGCAAAATGCTTTGGGAATTCCCATCCTTAGGTTCTGCAGCGATGGGCACTAGAGGCAAAACGCTAATCCGGCAGGCATAAATAAAGGGCTTCAGTCCCAGAGGTGCCAGGTTGGACTAAATTCACACAAATATTTAAAAATAAGTACATGTATGTAACAAGTAAGAGAGCTCATGTGATCCAGTAGACAGGACACTGGATGGGTCTCTAGAACCCTGGCCTATTCCCACCTCTGCCTCTAGCATGCTGTTTGACCTTTGGAAAATCTCTTAATCTCTCTGGTTTTGCTTCCCCTTTGTTTGCCTTGACTATTTAGTCTGTAACCTCTTGTAGGGACTGTCTCTTACCATGTGTATGTACCATGCCTTGCATAACAGGGTCTAGCCTTGGCCGGGATATCTAAGCATCGCTATTGTATAGTCCCGCTAACTCTTTAGCCAACAATTTGGGGAATAATTTTAAGATATTTCTATGTGCCTGATATAATTGAGCTGGCCAAGAACACTGAAACAAAAATGAAAGCAGGTCACTTACTTGCTTTCCAAATACTCCACAAGAGTCATGTTGTGACATGGGCTCAGATTGCATCAGATCGCATCCTGATGCTGAATGTTTCCAAATTTTCTCTAGCATTTTGAACTTCTAAATTCTCCTTTCCTTTCAACAGTGACCGAGAGTCGAGGCATCCTGGAGAGTATACAGAGATTTTCTTTGCTGCCAACTTATCTGCCTGTGAGCTATCATATCCACAATGCGGACGTTTCCTTCTTTCTTAAGGAAGCCAACCAGGATATCATGAGGAACTCTAGTTTGCAATCCCGGGTGGAGTCCTTCCTAATCTATAAATCCAAGAGGCCACCTGTATTAAATGCCAGCTATGGACCCTTTTTTGTTGAACAAATAGTGCCGCAGGACCTAATGTTGTCTTCAAATCCATTTGGATCCACCAACAAGTTTTCCTTTAATTGGAAACTCAAAGCCTATATCATGAGCGACAAAATTTACCTGAGCAAGCCCAAAGTCCAGATCCTGTTCTATGTTGTGGGCAGGGACTGGGATGACTACAGTACCACGGAGAGGCTGCCTTGCCTGCGGGTGTTTGCCTTCCGCGAGACGAGGGAAGTCCGAGGCAGCTGCCGGCTGAAGGGGGATCTGGGATTGTGCGTGGCCGAGCTGGAACTCCTGCCGAGCTGGTTTAACCCCCCCACGGTGGTGGCCGGCCGCAAGAAAGCGACGGATCAGTCTGAAGGGAGCCCTGTGGAACTTTACTACACCATCCAGCCGGGGGACGAGACCGGGGAGTGCACTAAGGAGGACATAAGGAAAAGTAATGGGATCAGACTGGGAGGCAACGATATTGATGAATCAGTACCTCCTTTGCAGAGAATTGGAAGTGTTTTCCTTTACCAGACTTATAGTGGCCCTTCCTTAAGTGAAATGAGGTTGGATAACAATATCGCAATCCAATATATACCAAAGACTGTCAAACAAGGTGATATTTTGACTTTCCTTGTGTCTATTAATAAAAATTCAACGGAGGACCTGTTCACACTGAGGTAAGTTCTTTCTAAATTCCTCTGTTAAACTGAAAATCAGATGGCAGGGTTTTTTGTTGTTGCTGCTGTTGGCTTTTGTTGTACTGGAAGTCACTTTCGCAAGGGTAAATTGATGGAAATCTACCAACAATTCCTGCTTTATAGATGAGATTTAAAGAGTGTTGCTTGTTCGATTCAATCTAGCAAATGTTGCCTTCTTCCTTTTCTATTATCCAGTCAAATATAGAGTGACCTGGGTGAGGAACAGTCTGTGAACAAGAGGCCAGCTGCCTTTGAGCAACTTCTGAGTAGTGCAAATGGGACATTCGAGAGCCATTTACTTGTCAGTAGGAGAAACTGCAAATTTCCCCCTGACCTGGATCTTGCAGAGCTCCTAGAGTAGTGATACTCAGACTGAGGCTTGCTTTGTCTCCTGTGGCTCTTTGCAGCACATGATATTAAACCGCATTGTGATTTAATAATTAACCAATCAGGATGCTTTAAGTAGGTTATCAGCCAATTGTAGAATACTTGGTCAGTCATTTTGCTGTGAGGAAAAAATAAATAAATAGTAAATGAAACAATGAATTCACACTATGGTGGCTCTTTTGGGTAATGTTGATCGCTAATTTGGGTCCTGAATCATTGAGGTCTGAGTATCACTGTCCTAGACATAACTTGCTCTGTCATTAGAGCCTCTTGTTAAAATGACTACATGCCCCGCACCCTGCCTGGTCTGTAAACCCTATTAGGTTGTTTAATATTTTCTTTTTAGGAATCCCAAACATCCCATGATTAAAATAAATAAAATATTCTTTTTCCTCAACCCAAGTGAGAAGTTCCTTAGTTTTTAATGAAAACTGTACCTTGCAGTGCACCGCCGCTCTGTTGTACTTGGTTGCTTCTTTGGCAGCCCAGGATTTCAGGCCATACTGTAGCAAGCTTGGAGTGCTTACAGTGCATCAGGAGATTAACCAGAAGGCTTCAGTGGACAGTAAATTCACACTACATGCAAGTGACTTTCTCCCCAGTGGATTCTCTAGTTTCAAGCTTGTCACTCTCTTTATACCAATAGCTTGTACTGCCATGGAAGAGAGGTGCACAGGGCTAATTTTTGTCTATTATTCCCTACCAATGAGTGACGTCACTTCTCTGAGTGTTGGAAGTAAATGTCATAGTCTATTGTCTAGACTTCTGAGACTGAATAGCTAAGACTGTGCTCTGTGATGTGTCTTTCTGGGCATGCTGTAGAGATGAGCTGCAGCAAACAGATTCAGGGACCATTCAAGCACTGTGCCTCCATATGAGAAGATACCGTCCTCTTGGCAAGCAGTTTACTGTCCACTGCAATAAATATCTTAGGCAGACACTTCACAGTGAGCAGCTTCTCTGCTCGGTAGAGACAAAAACAGTTTCCAAAGCCTTAGTGCTCTGACTTGAGGTAAAAAGAAACCTCCATTCTCTGCCAGTTGTATTAACTTGAACCCCAAATTCTCTGGCTAAAGCCACCTCAGCTTCTTAGAAATCTTTATTATAAACCAGCACAAGGCTGAAATGGATCCCGCTCTCCCAAAGTGAGGAAATATTGGGCCTGATTCTTCATTCAGTTATGCAGGTTTAATTCCACTGAAGTCAATGGAGTAGCGCCGGTGTAAAACTGATGCAAGTGGAGGACAGGGCGTGTTATTTTTCTGCCACCTAATGAGATTATTTTCCTTCTCGAAGCGTGCAAGATACGGATTGGATGAGCTAGGTGGCTTCTGCTGTCTAACACTGACTGTAAAATTGCTTTCTGCTTTGGATATGCTGGTTAAAGCTGGTTTGGTAAGTGTGACTAGGACAGTGGTTCTCAAACTTTTATACTGCTGACCCCTTTCAGACAGCAAGACTCTGAGTACAACCCCTCCTTATAAATTAAAAACACTTTTTTATATATTTAATACCATTATAAATGGTGGCTGCAAAGTGGGGTTTGGGGTAGAGGCTGACAGCTCATGACCCCCCATGTAATAACCTTGCGACCCCCTGAGGGGTCCCAACCCCCAGTTTGAGAACCCTTGGACTAGGACATGCAGTAGCTCCTTACAGTCCCTAGCATCTGTTGAAAACATCATTCCCCCTCCTCCTCCTCCCCCCCCCCCCCGCCCTTGAGTCAGAAAGGAAGCAGTCTGGATTTTGGGCAGATAACTAATCTGTGAGCTGTTAACAGACAGGGAGTTTGTATTCTTTACAGACAGTAATTTATTACCCAGTCATCTCTAGTTATTTGTGTATACTTGGAGAATATGATTTCAGACATGCATGGAAATTACTACAATGCTTGAAAGTTGGTTTAATTATAAAGATTATAGACCTTTTCAGTCTAAAGGAGAATAAATACAACCACTTTTCTTAATTGTGTTTACATTGAGACTTTAGGGCCTAAAAAGTTGATATTGAAGCACTTATGTGCTAATTAACTGTGATCATTAAAAAGTAGAGCTGGCCGGAGGATGACAATTCATAAAGGAATTTGAAATCTGGCTTCGTTTTTCATATGAATGAAATGCAAAAACTTCAGAATTCTGGGGAAAAAATTGTTAGCATTGATTGAAATGCTTGGTTTTGTGTTTTATTTTATAATATATAAAATACAAAATTAGAAAAAGAAAAATCATTTCAAAATAAAAATATCAAAATGGGACATTTTGGCATTATTAGAATTTTGTGGGGAAAAAAAAATTGGCCAAAATCATGCTGATTTCATGAAGCATTTCACTTTCGATGGAACTGTATTTCCTTTGAAAAGTGTCCGGTTGAAGTTTTTCCAGCTAGTGCTACTTTATAAGAAAGGCTTGCTGTTGTAGCAAAGTTGTCAAATGTGTTTCTGAAGCATCTCTGCCTGTCTGTCTCTGATTTAGCTACCATAACTCTAATTTATTTTTTTAATTTGTCTGTCATCACTGTAGTATGTAAGTTCCCCCTTTGCCCCTCCGTGAAATACACGTAGCTAACTCAGAGTTTGGGGAGCTGCTGTTTGTATATGTCTTGTGGCATAGGTCAGCAAGCAACCAGTGCTAAGAAAGGACAAATGTTGAGGTCTATTCAGTACTTCTGGGGAGAGTTACCCCGTGTCAAAGACTAGTGTAACCCCAGTTGTTGAGTGGGGAATAGTGCTTGGTGCTGGCCCTCTGCACAGGGGTGAATTTCACCATCTGTGGTTACCTACTGGAGCAGCGTAACAATATTTAGCATAGGCATTTTTCTATTTGTAATGTAATTTTGGGGAGGCGAGGGGAGAAACCGAGGCAAAGATTTACAAAGCTGTCTGTGGCTTTGGTGTCCAATTCCTTTTGGACTGGGTCTGCCCTGTAGGGCATTTGGTTTCCTCATGCGGCTTTGAAAATCTACCCTGAG